TATACAATGGATCAAGAAAGAACTGGCCTTTTTCTTTAAAGAAAATAGAAAAGAAGATACTTCAATGCAGAATGTTTGGGATACAATGAAGGCATATGCTAGAGGCTTGATAATAGACCGTAAGAAAAAAGAATATTAGGAAAAGGCAAGCCACTAAAGCCTTGGAAGATGAGTATAAAAGACTTGAAAAAGAACTACAAAAAATGCCACAGAAAAAAGATATCAAACTGAAACTGGACATAACTAAACATAAAATGGACTTATAGAGAAAGAAGAACTGGCACAGAAAATTAGGAATGCTAAACAGAATTACTTTGAAGATGCAAATAAGCCAGGTAGATGGTTAGCATATAAGCTGAGAAAGGAGAAAGAGTCGAGGAAAATATCGCAGTTAATAGATGACCAAGGTCAAGTTTGTTATGGCAATAAAGAGAAAAAGGAAATTATCCAAGATTTCTATGGACAACTATACAAGAAAGAGAATATTGATGAGGAAAAAGTCAAACAGTACTTGCAGAATGCAAACTTACCTAAGATATCCAACGAGACTGAAGAAATGTTAGAAAGTAATATAACAATGATGGAATTAAGCCAAGCACTTTAGAAAAAAAATAATGGGAAAGCACCAGGTCCAGATGGGCTGCCTGCAGAATTCTACAAAATATTACAAGAATCATTGAGCATTTCATTGTTAGAAGTTATGAATGAAGCTATGTCAAAGAAGACGATACCTAAAACATGGTCAGAGGCTTATATTACACTTATTCCAAAAGAAGAGGCTGATCCACTACAAATTAAGAACTATAGACCGATTTCTTTATTAAATGCAGACTATAAAATCTTTGCTTCGATATTAGCAGAAAGACTTAAAAAATATTTGAATAATTTTATCCATCCAGATCAAAATGGATTTCTGCCAAAGAGACAAATTAGAGACAATATGAGAGTAATTCTGGACACTTTGGAATATTATGAGGCGCATCCTGAAAAGCAAATGGCTCTGATATTCTTAGATGCCCAAAAGGCATTTGACAATGTGAACTGGAGATTTATGTTACTCTTATTGGAACAGATGGGTTTTGCTAGAAGATTTATTCAAGCAATAGAAGCAATTTACCATGAGCAAACAGCAAAGGTAATGATGGAGGGAGAATTTACAGACTCTATTAACATAAGGAAAGGCACAAGACAAGGATGTTCCCTTTCTCCTTTGCTATTTGTATTGACTCTGGAAGTGTTGAATAGAAATATTAGAGAAGATAAAACTATAAAAGGAATGAAAATTAAAAAGGAAGAATTTAAATTACAAGCCTTTGCAGATGACTTAGTTTTTATTTTGGAAGATCCTGTAGAAACAGCTTCGAAGCTATTGGAAAAGATAGACACATATGGTGAGGTGGCTGGTTTGAAAATAAATAAAGATAAAACAAAGATTTTGTCAAAGAACATGTTACTAAGACAAAGAGATGAATTGGCAGATCTGTTGAAAATCCAAGTTATGAACAAGGTTAAGTATTTGGGGATATATTTGACATCAAGATGTAGTACATTAAAAGAGAATAATTATATTAAACTTAAACAGCAGATAGCCCTAGATTTGAAGAAATGGGAAAATTTACAACTGTCATTAATAGGGAGGATTTCAACAATCAAGATGAATATTTTACCCAGAATCTTATTTTTGTTTCAAACAATACCAATTAGGCTTGGAAAAGACTATTTTGAGGACTTAAATAAAATTGTCTTGAAGTATATATGGCAAGGTAAGAAAGCGAAGATAAAGCTAAAGCTTTTGCAAGATGCTAGAACTAGAGGAGGTTTCAGCCTGCCTAATTGGGAGCTGTACTACCAAGCTGCAAATTTGATGTGGGTTAAGGAATGGATAACATTAAGGAAGACTAGATTGTTGACACTAGAAGGTCATGATTTGTTGTTGGGTTGGCATGCTTTTCTATGGTACAAGGGAACCAAAACACAGGGCTATTTTCGAAGACATTATATACGGGAGTCTTTGTGGTTAAATTGGGAGAAGATAAAAAAACAATGTTATTTGAAAATTCCAGTTTGGTTATCGACGATAGAAGCATTCTCTTATCCTATAATTTATAAGAAGGAACAGTTAGATATGGAGAATTATTAGATGAAAAGGGTGAACTTAAATCGATAGAAAATCTAGAGGAACAAGGTATAAAGATGAATTGGTTTTCATATGTGCAAATACACTCAAGGTATGATGAAGATTCCAAAACAGAGGGATTTTGTGATAAACAGACTGATTTAGATAAGATTTTGACAGATACTGATAAAAAGGTGATTAAAAAACTATATGGTTATTTATTGGGAATTAAGCTAGAGGAAGAACAAGTTAAAGAAACTATGATTGCTTGGGGGAGGAATTTTGGATATGGGATTGATTTAGAGAAATGGCAGAAACTATGGTCGCAAAATTATAAAATGACAATGTCTAAAGAAAATCTGTATAAGATGTTTTACAGGTGGCATTTCCCCCCCGACAAGGATAGCAAGAATGTTCAAGAATAAATCTGAAAAATGTTGGAAATGTCATCAGATACCTGGTTCATATTACCATATGTGGTGGACTTGTGAGGACACTAGAAAATACTGGACTAAAATCCGCATGTGGTTGGAAAAAAATGACAAAGAAACACATGGATCTGAAACCGGAGCTCTTTTTATTGGGAATCCTACCAGATGTATACAGTAAAGACTTGAAATATTTGATTGTAAATTTATTAACTGCAGCTAGGATTGTATTTGCTAAAAATTGGAAAAATGAGAAAATTCCATTGCAGGAAGAAATTATTAAGAAAATATTGGAATGTGCTGAGATGAGTAGATTGACATTTGAAATTAGAGAGCAAGAAGGTAAACAATTTTATAAAATTTGGGACCTTTTCTATCAATGGTTGGACGATGAAATACAACAATAGAATATTTAGAATGTTAGTTAATAAGGAATATCTTTGTTTTTTCTTTTTCTCTTGCTATTTGACGCTACATCTATAAAGTGTTTTTTTTTAGGATAGAATTGGTATGATTATATGCTTTGTTATAGAATAAATTACCTAAATTATAGTTATCTCATAAAGTATGAATGAATAAAAGTATAGTCAAATGATTTTTTTTAATAATGATATGAGGATATATAAGTTTGGATTGATAATAAGAGCTATTATGTAACATAACTGTAATTGAGACTACGAAATGAATGCACAAAACTGATGAACCAACCGACACACTGTTTGTATGTAAGTACGAAGAGAGCTGATGCTTTTATGTTTTGTCTGTTTTGTTTGTTAAAAAAAACCAATAAAATTGTTTTCAAAAAAAAAGATAATAAAAAAAAGAAAGTTCAAAACATCCTCAAAGATCCATCTCATCCTGGGCACCCTTTTTTTTGTTTTGTTGAACTATTACCATCTGGCAGATGGTACTGGATAATAAAAACAAGGACAAATAGGCTGAAAAACAGCTTCTATCCCAGGGCAGGAGCTCTGCTGAATTCTGCTGTCTTGTGCAGTGTTGATGCAGTGTTGGGGGGTTTCAATTCAATGTGTGGAATGTGAAAGATGTGCATTTGTTTTTTCATGGTCATGATGTGCACTGAAGATGGTGTCTGATTTCGTTGTATGAGGTGCAATGACAATAAAGTAAAGTAAACTAAAAGAAAGAGGATATAGAATAATATCAAACATGGAATTTATTTTACCAATGGCTGGAAAAAAGGGGTGAAGATTAAGTATGTAATTTGTATTGTTAAGCAAATTAATACCCAGATAACACGTTTATTCAGCACTAAGAAATGTATTTAATAGAAAATCAATATTTAAAAAAACTACCAAAGTAAGGCAGGACATAAAAATATATTAATTTTAGAGAAATGATGATACAAGTTTTATGGTTTTATAGTGAAGTATTAGCAAGAGAAAGAATAAGGAAGTGTGAAAAGCCAAACCACAAGGATGATCTATTGATCACGTCATATTTGCCAAGAAACCTTGTCTCGCTTGTAACAAAACCACAAGCTAGGGAGTTTAGTAAGATGGGTTTGTGACATCCAGCCATCTTAGCTAGCAATAGGGGAGGGGGAAAGCTGTGTTTCAAGTAACCAATGAATGACTGACAAGTTATATTTCTGTGTTTTGCCCCTTCTGAAGAAGTATATAGGCATGTGCTGTTCTATAAGAAATTTGTTCAGAAGTAGCTCTGGCTAAAATACTCTGAACAAATAAAACCAACTTATTTTTGGATTCCAAGATCTGAGTCTCGTAATTTCCTGCAACAAAAGAGCCATCAGTAAATGGCCCACCCAAAGAATCTCCAAGACCACCACCCCATCCACACAGAGCAAATATAAACTGACGGCAAACAGGACTCCTTACTAGTACTGATGATGTTACCTAGTTAGGTCATGAAACGTCTGCCAGAAAACAAGGAAGCTCAGAGAGCACCAGAGGTGAGGGGGGATCCACCCCTTACAAAGGGGTGACCTGGACAATCTTTCTTCACCCAGCACAACAGAGAGAACAGAACCGAGGAAGGCTGCCTATTCCCAGCTGTCTTGGGGCAGGTGGAATCCAAACAGGGAGCCACTGAGTGGGGGCTACCTCAATCATCCAGTTGGAACTATTTACTTTCAAGTGTGGGAAACGGAGAGGGGAGAGGAGCAGAGATGATATTCAGCCGGTTCTGACCAGTTGAGTAGTTGGGAGAACCAGCCAATCCCACCTCTGACTGGCCCCGCCCCCATCAATTTGCCCCCTCCCAATGAGTCCCAGCTGATTGTCAGGATCTCCTTTGGTTGCCCTACACAGGAGAACGGAGCTGGAAAGCAGCTTAGTGGGGTGGGGAAGGAAGGGGGATTTGGCAGTATATGCTTCCCCTGCCACGCCCACCAAGCCATGCCCACCAAGCCACGCCCACAGAAACAGTTGTAACAATTTTTGAATCCCGTCACTGCAGAGGAGAGGTCTACTCACGGGCAGAGGGCAAAGCTTCCCGTTGATTTTAACAAACAAATTGGGAGGGAAGTAATCTTCCTGCGGGCAGCTGGTTTCACATAAACAAAACCTGTATAAAAAATATAAAGACAACACCAGAAGGGTTAAGGCAAGGGTCTTCAAACTTGGCAAACTTATCACCTATCACCTATTTATCATCTCTCTCTCTCTGTACCTACCTATTTGTCTGTCTGTCTGTCTGTTTGTCTATCACAAGGATCTTCAAACTCGGCAAGTTTAAGGCTTATGGTCTTTAACTCCCAGAATTCCTGAGCTAACATGACTGGAGGTGGAAGAATTCTGGGGGTTGAAGTCCACAAGTCTTAAAGCTGTCCAGCTTGAAGACCCCTGGGTTAAGGGAAAGAAAATGCAAGAACAATCCCAGCTGCTACAGCCGAAAGTCATGAAGGAGGCATCGATCCATGAACAGCACAGTAAACCTAAGCACAACATGCGAAAACATACGCTTGGCGAACAATTATCAGACTGGGAGACTAAAATCAGACAAATGTGGAAATTGACAATATGTGGCAACAGTAGAAATCCAACTTAAGTTTAAGCAAGAATGGCTCCCTTGCATATGTCACAGAGCAAGGAAGATTTGAAATATGGCTGTCACTCTGCATTATGTGGCTGTAGAAGAAGCAACTGATGGAAACTCATCAAGGAGAGAAACAACCTGGAAATAAAGAGGAATTTCCTGACAGTGAGAACAATTAACCAGTGGAACTGCTTGCCACCAGAAGTTGTGGGTGCTCCCTCACTGAAGGCTTTTAAGACAGCCATTTGTCAGAGATAGTATCCTGCCTTGGGCAGGGGGTTGGGCTAGAAGACCTCCAAGTTCCCTTGGTGACTGATGAATCAGGATCTCTCCTGCTACTATAGATGCAGCAAATAATTTCCCGCTTTTCAAACATTCTTAAAAGAACCTTTTCTTACCTCAATTGCACCTGTACAGTATAATCACATTTGGCACCAGGTAAGATATCTCTGGAGGGGGAAAAAGGAGAAGAAGCTTAAATTTGTCTGGAAAATAACAAAGCAAATGTCGGAATCTGATGTATACATAAAAATTAGACTTCTAGTCCCACTGGATGATCTCTCTCCCTCCCTCCCTCTCTCCTCTGTCTGCCTGTCTCTGTCCCTCCCTGCCTCCACATACCATACACATGCTATACACAAACACACACACGCATATATATATACATGTATTCTGATTTATCTTTGAAGAGGTTTCACTTCTCAGTCCAGAAGCTTCTTCAGCTCTGACTGAACAACAACTAATCAGTGGCAAGAGCTGAAGAAGCTTCTGGGTTGAGAAGCGATACCTCTTCAAAGAAAAACCAGAAAGTTCAGCTGTCTCTTGAAAAAAGCACCTTTGGGACAACCACGATCTGGGGGACGGAGAATTTCCATAACAAATAACGAGAGAGAGACATATTTCAACAGAGGGAAGAAAAAAAAACTCCTTACCTGGAAGTAAGAATCTGTTGCACCTGCTGAGGAGTGAGAGCGAAGGTGAAATGGGCTTCCTCGAATCTCTGGCTGTTCACCGAAGCTGCAAGGAGAGGAGCACAGGTGACTTCCTGCCCACCCTCTGGATTTTAAGGATGGCCGGAGTTATGCCAAGCCGGCCTTCTGCAGCATTCTTTTTGCTGCTCGGAAGAAAACGGTGATGATCAAAGAGGCCAGGAAAGAGAGGAGATTGCAGAAAGAACGGAAAAAAACAAACAAACCAGCAAACAAAACAAGAAGATGAGGAGAAGATGATAAAGACAATAAGGACTGATGAATTAAACCAAGGGAAAAGTACTTTTAACAGATTTAAAGATGGAATCGGATAACTTGGAAGATATCTTCGAAAGGGAGATAGGGTAGGGGTTTGGGTGGATGCTCTGGAGATCTGGCAGCTTAGGAGGATAGAGATGGGAGAAATATTCAGTCTGAATGGTGAAGATACAGATGTTGATAGAGACAAAGATCCAAGAAAAAAGTATGGGAGGCAAGCAAAAAAATAAATAAGAGTATTTAAGTATTAACACAGACGAGAGATAATAGATAGAAAGGAATTATATATATTTCTTTTTTTTCTTTTTTTCTAATATAATGATGGCCTGATTAGAAATTTGACTAGAGGTAGAAATAAGAACATGAAGCAATAGTTAGATGGAAAGATTGGAGGTTGAAAGATGGGTTTATACTCCTTGCAGGCAACTGGTCATTTGCATTCTTTTTAGAGGGTCCTTGAGGCCACTTGGAGGTTTGTCTGTGTCCTCAGGATCACCTGAGTAGTGCAAATGGGTGTGAAAGGACCCATTTATGTGAGGACACAGATTTATGTGAGGACACAGACAAATCTCCAAGTGGCCTCAACGACCCTCTAAAAGGATGCAAATGACCAGCTGTCTGCAAGGAGCGTAAATCCTTCCATTCCCCTCCATCCAGTCTGAGCTGAATAAGCTTCTTGGATGAGAAGTTAAAAGTCTTCAAAAGAAAAACCAGGAATTCCATCTGCCTCCTGAAAAAGCACCTTTGGGACAACCTGGATGACTGAGAATCTCCACAGACATTCCTACCCGGAAATGTTAAGCACAGCCCAAACCGTCCCTGGCAGAGGACTCACCCAAAGTGGTGGGTTTGATGAGTTCGTCGTAAACGTCGTAGAAGGGCAGTCGACGCATCTTCACATCCGGATGGACAGGGTGGATGGGAGGCGACAGGTGAGGCACGTCGGCCTCGTGTTTGGACCCCAGCATCGGCACGGGAGGCAGCATGCCAGCCGGCACTCCGGAGGCCACCCCTCCGTTGTCGTAAGGCAGGTGGCACATGGCGCCTTGAGTCAACGCCGTGGCCGAGGGCAGCTGCCCAGCTGGGAGGTGGAGCATGGACAAGTCCGTAGGGGTGAGGATCTTGCGGGGGAAACGCCTCCGGTACAACTCCTTGATTTTCATCTGAACGGCGGAGCTGCAGCCCGACTTCAGCAACTGCAGCGCCTTGGTGAGCAGCTCGTGTTTCCGCCCACTCTTGTTCCGCCCGGCAAAGCCCAGAAGCACCTGCAGCTCTGAGACGCGGAAGCTCATAACCATGTGCTGGAGGACAAAAGTAGATTAAAATGAAAATTAAAGTGCTGATCTATCTATCTAAAAGTGAAAGGCCACTCACGCATCATCACAAAATCTCCATAACCGTAAAGCCTACAAACTTGAAATTTGACACATATTGTTCTGACTCACGCCCTTTTCCAACAAATCAAACACAATCCAAAAGGAACAGAAACCTTGTAATGCTTTTACAAAATAATTAGCTGTGATAAGCACAAGTCTTGCCAAACTGTTTAAGACTTGCCAAAAGATAACAGACAAGAAATAATTTACAATACAAGAATCTTCAAATACAAACTCAGGATACTGGAATATCCACGAGGCTGGAGTTTCAAAATGTCTTTGCCTTCTGCAAAGGTTAGTTTCACAGCAGGCTTTTATCTTCTTGAAGGAGGGGCAGCCTTACACCTGAGTCGCCCGTGCTTTTGTAACTGCTTTCCTCTGAGCAATCCTGCGCTCACATGGACATAGCACAGGCTCCTCAGGAACCTCATCGCTGCTGCCAGCCCCCACCATCTCTGAAGGCAGCAGTCCACTCCCTAATGGTCCTAGCCCCTCATCTGAATCCTCGCTCTCCTCAGCCATCCGCACCTGCTGCCAGCTAACCACAACACATATGTTCCTCTTGGCTTCTAGGTGCTCACTAAGAAAGGATTTTTCCAAATGACCATCAGAGCCTTAGTATTTCCTATATTATTATCATTAACACGCTCTGATGCTAAGGAGTTCTACTCCCCCTCCCCACCTGAAAAGAAATTTCTTCCAAATGCAAAACGTAAGAGGAGTTTCAGTTTCAGAGCACCAAGCAGCTTTAGTACAGAACAGTTGAGCTAAGCCGTGCCCAGACTCGTCTCCTTCTTACTCACACAGCAAATACTATTTCAGTTTCCAAACAGCCCTCAACTCTCTCACACACTGACAGCACACTAGCCAGATGAATATCAATGGATACGGTAGGCAGAGGCAGAATGTTGCCCCCACACACACACTTATTTTCCTCCCCGAAAACTAAGCCCGACCACATAGTTTTGTAGCTACCACATGGGTATCAAGCTAGTAAAATAATAACATTATGGTTTAAAAAAATAAAGGGGGAAAAAAGGTAGTTGTAAGCCCGGACCTGGGGGGAGAGCAAAGTTGCATGGTTCCAATCTAAGAATCATAGTATCAGCTTTGGAAGCTATATTTTACTTGGAAGCTTCAAAGCTGCCACATTCAGTGCCTGGGAATTTGGGGCGGGGGATTTCATAGAGAGGCAGAAGATTAGACACAACACCATTCCTTTCTCACAGAGTCAAGGACAAGTTTCCCTGCACCTGGAAGGGAGTGACTGGAGGAATGTCTCCAGTTGGGGCGAAGATTTGATTGGGCCATGTGATGGGCTGATGGATGCAGGGGGTTAGATCTTCGATTTCTCTTTTGGGAAGGGAAAACCTGGAACTTTCAGATTCGGGTTTTCCCAGATGTGCCAATATGAAAACTCTAATAAAATGGAACTTTGAGGAATTGATTGTTTCTTGGTTTGGAGTTGGTTAGTTGGAATGCTGACACATAGCTTGTTCGAGGACTTTAGGGCTCATTAAACATTGTTGTCATATTGGCACATCTGGGAAAACTCAAATCTGAGAGCAATCTGAAGCAGTGTGAACAAGAAGGCGACAGCAAGGAGTCTGGGCGTGGCTTAGCTCAACTGTCCTGTATTAAAGCTGGTTGTTGCTGTGAAACTGAAACTCCTCTCCTCTGCTTGTGTTTTGCATTTGAAAGAGATTTTTTTTCAGGTGGGGAGAGGGAATAGAACTCCTCAGCATCAGAGCATGTTATTTATTTATTTATTTATTTGATTTATATTGCCGCCTATTCGCCCATGGCGACTCAAGGCGACTTACACAATGTAAAATCATATTTAAAACAAAAATAAAAACTAAAAACTAACAAAGAGAATCAAATAAATTAGTAAAGTACCATGGAACAAAATTTCGGGGAAAAAAAAACCAACTCTCACCCCCACCCCGAGGGCAGAGGGTCACACTAGCCATTGGATGGGCTCCATCCCTCTCTGGGTTCCCCAGGCCCACTGGCCAAGCCAGATCTTCAGTGCCTTTCGGAAGAGTCTTAGTGAGGGGGCCATTCTAATCTCTGGGGGGACGATGTTCCAGAGAGGCGGAGCCACCACGGAGAAGGCCCTTCTTCTGGGTCCCACCAGATGTATCTCCCTCAGGGGTGGGACCCCCAGCATTCCCTGCCTCCTCGCTCTAATGGGTTGGGTGGATGTCACTGGCAAGAGATGTTTCCTCAGATAATCAGATATAATAAATAATAATAAATAATAATAATAATAATAATTATAATAATTATAATAATTATAATTATAATAATGGAAATTCTAATGCTCTGATGGTCATTTCGAAGAATCCTTTCTTAGTGAGTTCCTGGAAGCCAAGAGGAATCTATGTGTCATATGTCAAGTTTGTGGGCTTTACGGTTCTGGAGATTTAGTGATGATGCCTGAGTGGTATTTTGCTTTTTTATATAGAGAGATTGACAGTTGTCACACACAACTGTAACATAATTTTCTCTATTTGTTTCTAAAGCCCAATCTCCTGCACACAAAACACATCATGGTCCTCCCAACAGGCAGCTAGAGCAAACCTTCCCCTGGCTAATGAAATATGGGACAAACAAGAAACATACATACACACAGAGAGAGAGAGAGAGAGAAAGAGAGAGCGAGGAAGGAAGGAAAGGGGCCAGCAGGGATGAATCCTGCATGCTGTGAAGAAGCCTTCCAATTCCAAAGAGCGAGAGAAAAGAGAAGGAAATTGAGTAGGCTTATGGGTGGCCCCACTCAAATCTTTGGAAAAACAGGATTCCCGCCAGCCCCTCCATGTGCTCCAAAAGGACCCTCCTCCGGGCCAGGATTTCTTCATCCAGGGCTTATTTGCAAAAAAGGGGGAGGGGGAGAGGGGCTGGCAGGGAACCCAGCCTGGAAAATTCCATCCCTTTAAGGGGGGGGGGGGGTGTAACCAAGAGCCACGTACAGAACCCTGCGTGCAGCCGACATCCTCCTAGCTTGTCAAAAGCTGGATTCTTTTTCCGTTTTCCCAGCCTTCAAAGGCTGCTCAGACACATTGGTGCACCAGCAGGTTAAGTCTCCTGCCGAGTTGAATTTACTCCCACCGTAACATGGGGAGCAAACAACTACTACTAGGTCCCTTAATCCTTGAGACTAAAGTACAGGCAGTCCTCGACTTACAACAGTTGGTTTAGTGACCGTTCAAAGTTGCAATGGCGCTGAAAAAGGGGACCTATGCCCATTTTTCACACTGATGACTGTTGCAACATCCCCAGAGTTATGCAATGGGGATCTACCTATCTTCCATCATACTGCCTGTCTGCTCTCTCTCTCTCTCTCTCTCTCTTTCATCTATTGTCTATCATTCTCTGTCTCTATCATTTTCTCTCTCTCCCACCTTCCTATCTGTCTGTCTGTCTCTCTGTCTATCTTTCATCTACCTTGGCTATATTCTCTCTATCTCTATCATTTTCTCTTTCTCCCCTTACCTTCCTATCTGTGTCTGCCTATCTCTTTCATCTACTTTGTCTTATCATTCTCTCTGTATCATTTTCTCTCTCTCTCTCTCCCTACCTTCCTATCTGTCTACCAACTAACCTACCTCCATACAAAAACATATGCTTTATATACACACACATACTTATATACAGGTAGTCCTTGACTTACAACCAAAATATCTATTGATAAGCGAGACATTTATTAAGGCGTTAACTTATCATCGTTATGTGATTTATACTTGTATGCTTCACAAGTGGTTCATATTTATGACGGTTACAGGGTCCCAGAGTGATGTGATCACCTTTTGTGACAAGCAAAATCCATGGGGAAGCCAGATTCACTTAACAATCGTGTTACTAATTTAACAACTGCAATGATTCACCTTAACAAAGGTGGCAAGAAAGGTTGTAAAAATGGGGCAAAAACTCACCATCTGTCTCCCTTAGCAACATAAATGTTGGGCTCAACTGTGGTCGTTAAGTCGAGGACTACCTGTATTGGTCTGGTTCATCAACCTCCTTAAACCACAGTTGCCTGACCCAAGTCACAACAAACTGTAGTTTTTCAAACAGAGCTGCTGGGTCCAGGCAACAATTTCAGCCAGAAATAAAGATACTGCATTCTGACTTAATGCTCTAACTAATTCTGTCATTACAGGTAATCCTCGACTTACAACAGTTCATTTAGTAATCAAAGTTTCAATGGCACTGAAAAAAGAGACTTACGACCATTTTTCACACTTACAACCTTTGTAACATCCCTATGATCACGTGATCAAAATTCAAGTGCTTGGCAACTGATTCATATTTATGACAGTCGCAGTGTCCCAGGGGTCACATGATCCGCTTTTGTGACCTTCTGACAAGCAAAGTCAATGGGAAAGCCGTGTCACTAATTTAACAAATGTAATCATTCACTAAACAACGGTGGCAAGTAAAGTTGAATGGGGCAAACTCACTGTTTCACTTAGCAACATAAACACTGGGCTCAATTGTGGTCGTAACCCAAGGACTACCTGTACTCAAAGGCAATTCAGAGATAATGTTGTGCAAGAGCCATTCGTATCTTGTGCCAAAATCAAAGCAAAATCACTGAAACACCCAATGCATGGACTTATGTTTAGAAAAGGGATTAACCACAGTGCTGTGTGTGTCTGTGTGTCTGTGTGTATACACACCATCTTGGAAATGATGCTCGCTCAAGTCCAAAATTAAAAAATAGGAAGAGTAACGTACTTTGAGAAAATTAAAAATGGTTCAAACTTTGGCAGCTAGATCACCAAAATCACAGGTATGTTTCATAGAATCAAATGGCTGGAAGGGACCTTGGAGGTCTTCCAGTCCAACCCTTGCCAAAGTCAGGAGTCCTTTATTGCATCTGGAACAAATGGTTGTCCAATCCTTTCTTGATCCCAGTG